TTCAGAACAAAGAGGCAGAGGCCCCTCCCTCTGCCAAGTGAAGATCTGCAGGAAGAAGCAGCCGCCCAGGCCCACCCCAGACACGCACCCTGCTGCAGCCTGGATCGTGGACACTCAACCTGCGGAACCGGGAGCCATCGCTGTCTGTTGCTGATAAGCTGAAGTGGACTCAGCCACTCTCCCTGCTGACACCACTTCCTCCAGGAAGTCTCCCGAGCCGCCCTCCCAGAACCTCCAGCCTGGGCGGGCGCCTCCCACGCGTCTTCACTTCTCACTCCACACAACCATGGCCTGTTGGGTGCTCTACTTCCACACAGCAGCCAGAAGGCTCACTCAGGGCCCTTCCAGCACGGCTGGGTGCCTGGCAGACACCGGGGAAGCTCCTGCTGAACCAGCCACGGGACACTGTGAGTCGTCTGTCTGCTCTGCCCACCTTCATTGCGAGCCGTCTGTCTGCTCTGGCCACCTTCTCTTCTGCGGGCTGAAGTGAGGCTTCCCCACGCCGAACGCCGCGCATGGAGCCTGCTCAGAGCCGAGGGAGGAGGACGTGCCCCTCCTGCCAGAGCATCCCGCTCTGCGCCAGGCCCGCTTAGCGGGAGCGTGGCCTCCCCACAGCGCCGACCCGGCAGGAGCACAGCCTTTGGCAGCTGACAGATGGGTTCCCGCTAAGTGACTTTGATCAATTTATTCAGTTTGCTTTTCTGGAAAATGAGTACAAAACCTTCCACAGGAGGATTCTGTGAGGCCTGAATGAGATTTCACACAGGAGACGCCCCCAGCTTCCCAACACACTCCCATCCCTGCCGCCACCCCTGCCCCAGGCCGCAGGCGACTCTGCCCTCCCTCCAGGGCCGGGTGCTGGGTGAAGTGAGCCCAGCGTTCTCTCCCAGAGGGAGTGGTACGCCACCAGCTGGGACCAGGGGCCTTCCCAGGGCGCCGAAGGCCTGAGAGGGCAGCTTCACCCACGTTCATTGTTAGATGGTCTCTGAGAAAAGGCTGCACACGCTCCAGAAGAAAGCACTACGCACCTGCTGCTTCCTTCAGGCAGCGAGAGCATCGCCCGCCAGTGCCGCTGGTAGAGAGGTGACACGGGATCCCAGGACCACTACCAGCCCACAGCAGGGGTGACCACCAGTACAGGGAACCTTTCTTTGGCACCTGAGGAGCAGCAGGGGTGCCCACCATGGGGCCAATGGAGAACCAGGATTCTGCGAAGTAACAGAGCACAGAGCGGCCAAGCCAGGGTGTTTGAGGACCGTGTCGAAGGCAGGGCCTGTGAGACGCTTCCCAGGTGAAAGGTACGACTACCTCCACCTCCTCCACCTGAGCTGCTCCAGGAGCCCCAAACAACTGTGCGTCCCACTAAACTGGGAGAAGGAAGGAAGGGGCTCCCTCATGCTGGGCCTCCAGCCTCACAACGGGGACTCGGGTGGCATCTCCCCGGGTTAGCAGCAAAGTGCCAAAGACGACTCCCGGAGAAATGCCCCCTCTGCTTGGCCCTGCTTGGCCCACACGCACTGCCCCAGTCATCACAGCCAGGGGCCCTTGTCGGGCAAAAAAGCCAGGGCCCCAGGCCGGCTTCCCTGTGTGTCACACCACGCCGCCGCTCCCCTGCCGGGAGGGGTCTTTATTTATTCATCTTGTCACTCCTGGAGCCTGACGCAGGGCTCGCCACACAGCAGGCTCTCCAAGTATCAATATTTATTGAATGAATATTTCATGAAAGAATAAAAGAATATGTGAGTTAGGAGATTTCAGAAATGAGAATTTAAGCAAAAAGCTTAATAATGAAGGAGCCCGGAGCACAAAACAAAATTGCAATTATTTGAGACTGGGGCTGTTAATATCACCCAGCCTCCCATGGCCAGAGCGAGGCAGGCTTCTGACACAGAGCAAGCCTGGCCAGCTGCAATTTCTCAGGAGTGTTTTATATTTGGTGCCATCAGAAAGCCAGACAGTGTCCTCTGGGACTCCAGGCTACATCAAAGCGTCCCCACAGGAAGAGCAAGACCGGGGTGGGGCAACACAGATCCCCACACAACTGTGGGAGCAGCACAGGCTGCCACCCAGACACCAATCGGGCATGTCACAGCCCTCGGGGGCCCAACGTGCCCCACAGCACACACACGGGAGGGTCCTGGAGCCCCCACAGGCCTGCACGCTGCACACAGGGAGGAGGGCCGGCCTGGGGAGGCCGTGTTTCCTGGCTCCTCTCAAAGGAAGACCAGAGTCACTGGACCTGGCGCGCCTGACCCCCAGGCCAGCCAGGCCGTGCTGGAGGGTGGCGGGGCCTGCCTTCCAGCTGTGGACGGTACTGACAACAATCACGTTAAATATGAACGCCCTGGAAACTGCCCCACAGCAGTGCATTGGCATGGTGTCGCTCCCCCTCTTCGTGGAGGAACGACACAGGACCCTGCGCTGTTCTTTCGTCTGCTCGGCCCTCCCCGGGTTTGCTGCTGGTTCTTCCCGGGTTGGCTACTATCCCTTCCACCTCCGTGGAAGGGCAGGTCCCCCTGGCCACTTTCCCCACTTCCGCAGGGGAGCGGCACACCGCCGGCCGGTTCTCTCGGGGGCTGCACGGGTGTTCCCTTAGATGTTCCCCATAGATGTTACTGGTGCATGCCGTCTCTCTCCTCCTTTATAGTCCTCCTCCGCCAATCCTAACTCGGCTGCCCACACGCCGAGTACGCTGCTCTCCAATCAGGAGCAAGTCCTACAGTTTATTGGTTGAACTGGAGGCAGCTGGGTAGAAGCTGTTTTCTCCTCTCCCAGCGCCATATTGTAGGAGAGCAGATGCATAGAATAAGTCTTAATTCCAGTAACTTAGTCTAGTCCGAGCTGCTCCCCACAGAGGAGAGCAGATGCATAGAATAAGTCTTAATTCCAGTAACTTAGTCTAGTCCGAGCTGCTCCCCACACATGGAAATGAAACAAGTGGCCTATTTACACAATGAAATATTAATAACAGCCAAAATGAGGGGATCAGATTTATGATTAGCTCCGAAGTGTAGAGCTGATTTTAAGCTTTAAAAGCACGTATATATGGGGCCACTTATGTCAGTAAAGAGACACAACTCTCAAAGAGGCGTTTGGTGGTGGATGTGCGCATGAGTGTGCACAGTGACTGGAGTCAAGTCCGAGCGTGCCAGCACCATCACCCCCGACAAAATCTATCCCCAGGGGGAGGGGAAAGAAGACAGCAGCGGCTGGGGAAGAGGCAGACATCGGCGACGCGTGCTTCTCTCGTCATTCCCAGTGTTTTCTCACGAAAATCGGCAGTCACTCTGAGAGAAACGAGCCCCTGGTCCCGCCCAGCACGGACCAGGGAGACGCTCCGGGTGGTGCAGCCCCACCCCTGCTGCAGCTCCTCGCTCGTCACCTGCTCGCCCCTCTGCCTGGCCATTAATCCGGCTGTGTTTTTGTGCATTCCAAACACTGCTGCTATCATGCAGAGCCTGCGCGTGCCTGTCATTAACCGGAGCTCAACTTCTGTTTACAGCTTTTTCTCTTGATGTAAAATTGACAGACAGTGAAATGCACACATCACATGTGAACATATCCTGAGTTTCAACAAATGTGTAGCCTTGTGTGACCCAAACTCCCGTGGAGTTAAAACCACAGGACTGTGACCTAGAAAATTGCCATAAGCCCTTTCCCAATCAAACCCCTTCCTGGCCCTCTCCGGAGGCCTCGACTGTCTGGTTAGGCTTTGCTAGGACTTTTACATTAATGGAATCACACAGCATGGCCCTCAGCACGACAGCCGTGACCTGTGTGCGGGTTGCCTGCAGGCTGTGTGGGTCATCTGCTCCCTGTTCTTGCCCCGGGCTGATCCATGGGTAGGAGATACAACCAGCGCTTATCCATTCTCCCATGATGGACACCTGGGAGCCCTGTGCTGTCTGGCCAGGAACGTTCTAGCTCAGGTCTTTTGTGGCTGTATAATTTAATGCTTCTTGAATAAACGTAGGGTTGGAGCAGCAGGGTGAAGGGGAAGTGTGTTTAGTTTTACAAGAAAGTGCAAGCCCGTTTTTCACAGCCGTTGCACCACTTCACATCCCCACCAACGGGGCCCGAGGGTCCCAGTGGCTTCCCACCCTGCTGCCACTGGCGGCTGTGCTTTTTAATTTTTAGTCTGATGCCCGTGTCATGGCATCACACTCAGGTTTGGACTGGCATTTCTTTGTTGATGGAGAACGGCAAGTTAGTGATTTCTTAAACTATTTCATTTTCTTAAAAGAGAGGAGAGAGACAGAGAAGCAAAGAGAAACAGACCTGGAGCAAAGAGCTAAGTGTTTATTCTAGGACGTGGTGTGCTGGTTTCTAAATTATTTTCTACATGTTTGCAGTATGTGGTGGCTAAAAGTAAAACATACTAGTCCATCCATAATCCCACTCATGAGTACATACACCTAAGGCCGCCCGGTGTGCACAGAGGCCGAGGGGCAAGGGGCTCTGGGTCCTCCCTGCCCCGGGACACGCCCAGGGCTCCCGCCTGGCCACTGGCCGGCTCCCACCTCCCCTCACGCGCAGGGACCTCTGCTGGGTCAGGGAAGCTCCAGAGCCTGACCCAGGCCTGGATTCGCTGGTCCCTCTCACTGCCCTGCACACAGGGCCTGCAGCAGTATCCCTCTCCCACGGGTCTCAGCCAGGCCCACCTCTCTGCGGCATTAAAGGAGCTTGAGCCTGAAACACAGCTGCCGAGTCAACAGCAAATGCTGCCAGAAACCACTTCCTTCAGCACTTAGGCCTCAGCGCCTCAGGCCCGGGGCCCGGCACATGCCACCACCTCCCATGCCGGGCTCTGACCCAAAGCCACCCTGGACTCTGTCGCTGAACCTGCGGAACCACCACCACAGCTTCAAACCAGCGCCAGCACTGGCTGAGCTCGGCGGTCCCAGAGGCCAGGTTCTCCCCGCCGCCCCTCCCCCAAGCAGATGAAGGACTTCCAACAGGAAGCCCGGCCAGGGGGGGCCAGGGGACTACAGGACACTCACCGCTGGCACTCGCCGGCACGCAGGACGAGCTCCTCATTGCTCCGGGCACTAACCGTCAGCTCCTGCTCCGTGGAGTTGAAGACATCCAAGAGCAGGTGGCACTGTCGGGTGCTGTGGTGAAAGACAGATGAGAATTCAGACCATTCAGACCCTCAGACGGCCATGGGCCCCTGCCATGCCTTACCCCTCCCCAGGGACTACCCACTCCCTGAGGCTGAGCCCAGGCGGCCCTGTCAAAACCCCAGAGGCCCTGGACACAGAGAGGTACTGAGGCTCGGTCTGAACCAGCTGTGGACGATAAAGTGGCTTTGGGCATCAGTCTTCCCTGGTCCTGGGGATGAGTGTTTACAACGCAGCTGTACTCTCCAAAGATGTGACCTTGGCTGGGAACTCGAGGCCTCCAAGCCTCTGCCTGTGAGTGGGACCAGGACACCTGGCTCTCATATAGCATAAGTGGAAACACCTGTATACAGTGGCGCTTGATAAATGCTGAGTCAGAATCCCTTCAGCTACCAGGTACCACAAGAGGTGTTAGGGACGGGAACCCCAAGAACTTGTGCACACGTCGTCCCCGAGCGCCTGACCCTGGGCTCCCCTGGCTCCCCTCCAACTGCAGCAGACACCACAGGCCACTCCCCACCATCTGCTACCTCCACACCTCTTCCCGCACTGCACAGGTGCAACAGAAGAGACGTCCATTCCCAGCACTCCCGGCAGCACCAGGCATCCCAAGTGCACAGCGCCTTGAGAGGAAGCCATCACCCTTCAGCCTCTCCCACTCCCCGTCCTCCTGCTCCCGGAACAAGAAAGACCCCTAGAAGCTTGAAGACGACAAGGACCAATGCCACTGGTGGGGGGGAGGGGCAGAGGAGAGGTCAGAGGATGACATTCTGCCTGCAGTAGCTGCCACAGCCCCCACCACCTCCCATGCGACATCAAAAGCCCCGCAGCATGCATTCTGCTTGTGTCAGTCACCACGGGCTGGCTTTCCTTCGGTTCCACGAGCCCTTGCCTAACACCACCATCACGGAATCCTAAATCGGAAGCGTCACAGCTAGCACTGGGCAGACTGGCCCTGAGCGCTCACAGATCTCAGTGGGCCAGCCACAGCCACGGTGGGGATGGACAGAGGAGATGGCCACAGAGCAGAAGCCATGGTCCCTCCTGGGGAGCAGGGCAGAGGGACTCTGTGCTCTGGGCTGTTACTAGCTCAGTGTGGCTGCCAGAAGGCATGTGGGTGGCCAAGTGCAAATGCCAAAGTGGCAGACAAGAGGACTGACACCCCAACACCGGCCCTGTGCCTGGGCCACCGCCCGATTTGCTCTTTCACACTGATAGCCCTAACAGGTGGTCCTCCTGACCCCTTCACCCTGGGGCAGAGGCGGCTCTGGAGGGGCTGAGAGCGCTGGGTGATGGCTGAGATCAAGACTCGGACTCAGTCCTTCACGTTCCACGAGACATCATGGTCCGTACTGCAGAGCCACAGCTGCCATCTGTGCCGTTCAGGGATGCACAGGGGTTCACACAGGCCCGTGCACACACACACCTGTGCTCACACAGACACAGCATCAGTGTGTGTCGGAATGTGTGCGTTCCCTGTGTCCACGGGGGCCCGCCCACGCTGGCAGATCCCAGGGGTCCTGGGTGGAGGGCCTGCCCCAGGGGCTCCGCACACGGGCAGTTTTCACCAGCTGGGCAGCTGCCTGCCACGCCCCCTCAGCCAGCTCGAGGGGGACAAGCGTCCGGGAAGGAAGATCTGGCCCACCTCCGTCGTGACTGCACGGATTCTTTCCTCAGGAAATCTCTCGTCAGGAGGCAGAACTCGCAAGACAGTGATCAGAGGAGGAAAGCCGAAGAGACCCGGAATAGAAGACTCAACTTCACGTTGCTCTCACTCACAGCCTGGACTGGCGGGAGGGCTGCGCGGAGGGACCAGCATCGCCGCGTGACACGTCCTGCGAGCTCCTTCCCTTCTCTGCCTCGCCGTCTGAGAGCGGCGATCTCCATCCAGAGCCCCCATTCCTCCGATGGTTGACGCTATGACGTATTGGTGGGCCTTGCTTACCGTTACTCATAAACCAATTCCCTCTCCAGACAGCAGCAGCATTTTTTGCCCACCATAACCTCATTTACTCTGTGTATTTTTCCACTGCACTTTGGATGATTTTCTTTAAGGCTTATGGTCTACCTGGGTATCATGTTTATCTTTTTCTAAAAAAAAAAAGATTTTATTTATTTGAAAGGCAGATAGAGAGAGAGATATCTTCCATCTGCTGGTTCACTCCCCAAATGGCCACAACGGCCGGGGCTGGGTCAGGCCAAAGTCAGGAAACTGGAACTCTGTGTGGGTCTCCCTAGCAGGAGCGGGAGTCCAAGGACTCAGGCTACCTTCCACTGCCTTCCCAGGTGCATCAGCAGAGAGCTGGATCAGAGGTGGAGCAGCCAGGACTTGAACCAGCACCCCTGTAGAATGCCAGCGTTGCCTTAACCTGCTGTGCCATGATGCTGGCCCCACAGTTAACTTTTTTTTTTTCTTTTTGACAGGCAGAGTGGACAGTGAGAGAGAGAGAGAGAGAAAGGTCTTCCTTTGCCGTTGGTTCACCCTCCAATGGCTGCCGCGGCCGGCGTGCTGCGGCCGGCGCACCGCGCTGATCCGATGGCAGGAGCCAGGTACTTATCCTGGTCTCCCATGGGGTGCAGGGCCCAAGTACTTGGGGCATCCTCCACTGCACTCCCGGGCGACAGCAGAGGGCTGGCCTGGAAGAGGGGCAACCGGGACAGAATCCGGCGCCCCGACTGGGACTAGAACCCGGTGTGCCGGTGCTGCAAGGTGGAGGATTAGCCTAGTGAGCCGCGGCGCCAGCCCACAGTTAACTTTTTTTTTTTTTTTTTTGACAGGCAGAGTGGACAGTGAGAGAGAGAGACAAAGGTCTCCCTTTGCCGTTGGTTCACCCTCCAATGGCCGCCGCGGCCAGCGCACTACAGCCGGCGCACTGTGCTGATCCGATGGCAGGAGCCAGGTGCTTCTCCTGGTCTCCCATGGGGTGCAGGGCCCAAGCACTTGGGCCATCCTCCACTGCACTCCCGGGCCACAGCAGAGATCTGGCCTGGAAGAGGGGCAACAGGGACAGAATCCGGCGCCCCGACCGGGACTAGAACCCAGTGTGCCAGCGCCGTAAGGTGGAGGATTAGCCTAGTGAGCCGCGGCACCGACTCCCACAGTTAACTTTTAATTGTTTTGGTTGTGTTTTCTAGATGTGTCTTTCTGAAGGGGAAGGCCAAGAAAGCTTCCTGGAAGAAGTGAGCTCAGAGCAAGTCTTTAAAAGGCTGAACCCTACGCCTGGTGTCAGGGAGAGAACACAACATGGGACCAGCAGTGTGAGGAGCACGAGGACCCTGGGGTCCAGGGTGAAGCTGGGAGAGGGGCTCAGGCTGCTGGGCAGAAAGGCAGAGAGCGGCCTGTGCACAGGGACCTGGGTGTAGGGACTCTGCTCAGGAACGAGGGTTTTGTTAACTAATCTACCCAACAGCACTCCACAGAGTGCCTCCTGTTGTGAGCATGCAGGATGTGCAAGGGAGCAGGATAGACCGGACCTCTGCTGTTACAGAAATCACACCTCTGGGAGGCAGGAGGGCTGGGAAGGCCAGGGGAGTTAAAAAAATAAAAATAGGGGCCGGCACTGTGGTGCAGCAGGTTAAAGCCCCAGCCTGAAGCACTGGCATCCCATGTGGGCGCCAGTTCTAGTCTCGACTGCTGCACTTCCGATCCAGCTCTCTGCTGTGGCCTGGGAAAGCAGTGGAAGATGCCCAGGTCCTTGGGCCCCTGTACCCTCGTGGGAGACCTGGAAGAAGCTCCCGGCTCCCGGCTTCGGATCAGCTCGGCTCTGGTCATTGCAGCCATCTGGGGAGTGAACCAGCAGATGGAAGACTTCTCTCTCTCTCTCTCTCTGGCTCTACCTCTCTCTGTAATTCTATATTTCAAATAAGTAAAATAAATCTTTAAAAAAACTTAGGCTTTTTTTTGTAAGATGAGAAAGACCAGGTTCAAAAAGGTTGTTTAACAAAAGGTTAGGACATGCAAAACCCCACAGTATTCTTATATATCAACTAAAAAGTTACAAGATAAAAAAAATTTAAAAACATAAATTAATGACAGCAATGCAGTCCAAAATGCACATGGGACTAAATCTAAGAAAACAGAGACGAAAGCCATTTGTACAGAAAATTATAAAGGTTCACGTCAAACAAAGGCAGAGATGGCTTATAGTCAAAGATGGGAAGACTTCGTATTTTAAAGCGACCATTTTCCAAATTTACATAAATTCACTACAACTCAACAGTAAGTTGTGGTTTTGGTGAACTTGTGGTGCTGATTCCAAAATGTACATGTATGACAAAGGGCCGGCAACAGGCAGGACACTGAGGAAGCAGACCGTGGGAGGGATCTGGCCTTCCCGGTACGAGGCCAGGGACAGAGCTGTAAGTTAAGGAGTGACACAAAAACACGGGAATGAAAGGAAACAGGGCCCAGAAGCAGAATGAGGCTGTGCGGGGCTGGGGCTGGCGAGATGGGGATGTCGGGAGGGTCTGGTAAATACACCAGGAAAATGGTTCTGCAGAAAGACAGCAGATGACACCCCTACCTCACACCATGAACAAAAATAAGATTCCAGATAGATTAAGTATCTGACCACACGCAAAAACCTTTAGAAGAAAACAGAGGTAAAGGACTCATGACCTGGAAGAGAGAGAGAGAGAGTTTTAAAGAGAGAGTTCAGGCACACAGAAAACAAAGAGAAAAACTAAAATGTCAGACTACATTCAATTAAGAACTTCAGCACAGAGAACCTCCAGAAGCCAAACCAAAGGCAGACTACCTATGAAAAGGTGTTTGCAATACACAACCCTGACAAAGGGCTGAAATCCTGAGTTTATAGGGAACTCTTACAGATCAATGAGAGAAAATCAAGCAAAGGGTTAAGACTGACAATTAAGTAGGGAACATCAAAGGGCTGACAGATGGGAACAGAGCCCAACCCAACCAGCAGCCAGAGGAAGGGTGAGAAAACCCTAAGATATCATTCCCCACCAAACCTACTGGGAACATTTTAAAAGTGGTCCAGCTCCAAGTGTTGGCCAAGACACACATCAGTAAGAACCGGGAATTCTCCCCTCTGCGGGCAGGGAATGGGCACAACTCCTTCACAGAGAACATCGGGACTACCTGGCCAGTCTGTAAATTGAGAACTCTCTGACAGAAAAATTCCACTTCTACTTGATCCATTTGTTGGATCAGCTCAGAGTCTGGCAGAAGGACACATCCAAAAATGCTCACTGCCATACTGCTTATTGTAAAAAGCAAAGTGCTACTTTTGACTAAGTGTGCATCAGCGGGAGGGCAGCCCTGGGACCTATGCAGACGGGAAGATGGAGTCACAAGAGCTACGTGCCTCCCCGCGGACACCTATCGCGTTAATAACCTTGGGTATATAAAATTTGCATCAAATTTATCAAATAATTTTTAAATTAATCTGCACCGCTTATACACATCAAATTTGCTTACTGCCTATTCATAGCAAGGAAGAGAAACACAAAGAGCTTTCATAGTATAGTTTTATTTTTTTAAATTAAAAAAAACAGAAGCAAATGCAATATCGCAAAACATTACAATCTGACAAAGTGGGGTGGTGGACAGACTCCTGTCCCCTTGATCTTCCTTTATGTGTCTTCTCTGTGAAATGTGCACGCAATGTCAAGTGCTAATTCACCTGGCATCAGGGGCTGCACCTGGCTCTCCCCAGAACCGGGTCTGCAAAGCTCTGGCGTGAGGGTTCCTCTGGGGCCTGAGGAAGAGATGGCGGGAGGGGCAGAGCCTGGCAGGAGGGCAGCAAGTCCTGGGACCTCTCCTTTCGCACTGCTCAGCCGGATGCCCTGTGACTACTACGGCTCAACCTGACAGGTCTGGGAAGCCCTGGGGAGCTCAGAAATGTGCACTGAGACACAGCGGAAGGCGGAGCTTCTCCACCAACTCTTGCCCTCACAGCTCAAGCCCTCGCCAGGGGGAGGGGTCCATTCCCTCCCACTTCCTGTCTGTGCTGTGCAGAGTGGATACTCACAGGCACCCAGTCCTGCAGCCCCACAGAAGGCCTTTAGAATATTCCAGAAAGCCAGAGAGGCCCCGCACGGCTGAGGTGAGGTACGGTGCTCTCGGATTACACCTGCACAAATCTGGTTGCCTTGGCAATGACTAGAGCAGAACTTGGTTGTGACGTACGGCAGGGCCCAAGACTTGGATGATACGAGATTTGAAAAACAAAAAAACTAAATGCTCCTGAAAACCTAACCAGGGCTTTACAAAATGAATTCAGTTTGACAGCAAGGAGGCCTCCCCAGGGAAAAGGCACCTGAGACTCGGATGACAAGAACGCAATCATGCAAAGGTGTGGAAGGGCCGTGTTCCAGGGAGAACAAGTGCTTCACGCAGAAATCCTGCGATCACAGGCTAGAACAAGCAAAGGGCGTGGCACGAAATTGATGAGAGGTTTCGGGAAACGCTGACTTGATGCACGGCGTGATGCGGCACCGTTCGAGTGTCTCAAGCAGATGAGTGACATGCATCGGCTTCTGTTTGAACCAATGGTGAGCTCCAATTTTGGAGGAGACGGAGCAAGCAGGGCCCGCCCCGTCTCTCCCCCAGAAGGCAGCCGAAGTCACAGAACGCATGGGGACTCAGAAAGCAGCCCGAGGCCAGGGAACCCAGGGGACAGGGCAGTCAGCGCTCCTGAGCAGGGAGCCAGTGCCACCTTCCCTGGAGCCGAGTGGCCTGGACTGAGAAGCAGCTATGGCGGCTGCCGGAAGGGGGGCACCGAGAAGCCCTCTTCCTGAGCTGATGCATGGGCAGAGGCGCCAAGAAATGTTCGGGAGGAGAGGTCCCTAGAGACTCCCCTTCCCTTCTCTCCCAGCCCAGTCTATAGGCAGCACAGCAGAGGGCCCCCAAAGGTCCCCAAGGCTGCTCAGGCACATCCACCTCCCTGACCTAGGAGCTGGGGTCCCCAAACCCCAGGGCCAGTTCCTATCGTCCCCCTCTGGGCCTCCGCCAGTTAGTCCAGTGCTGAGGAGACATCAGAGTCAGAGAGGAGGGCGATGAAGGGAGCCACCTGAGAAAGTCACACAGAAACCCCCAGTCTCTCTGTGGAGCTGAGCAGAGGGAACCAGAGCCCACACAGTCAGCTCCAGGTGTTGGCAATGAGTCCCGGGAAGGGTCCTGGGTGGTGTGCACATGCAGCTGGCCCAAAGGGCACCACGGTCGCTTTGAAACCCCAACTGCAGCACAGCCCATGGTGGACACTCCAGAAATGGGAGAGAGGGAGGGGACGGGAGGGAAAGACCAGACCCACCCAACTCTGGGCTACCTGCTAAACCTGATTCCAACAGTCTCTTAGGATTCCAAGAACCCATGATCTCACCACATCGTATTCAAAACGTCCAGAATACACTCTAAAGCGACTTAGGGTAAGAAGATCTGGGAACACATAACTCATAAGGAAAATGATTAATCAACTGGCAGAGACCTCAAACACATTGCGAGAGGCAAGGGTGAACATACCTCCAAGCCACAGGAAGACAGAGTCAGCAGAGCCACGGGGGACACGAGTATGGAGACGATGCTAAGAGAACCTTCAGAGAGCAGACAGTGGGCTGACAAACTCCATGGGGAGTGCGTCAGCTCAGTAACTGATGGGACAAGCAGACGGAAATCAGAGGATGTAAAACACACACACAGCAGACGGACACTGGGATAATACCCCCCCCACACACACAAAGCCAGCAGAAGACCCCTGTGTCTCAAGGGCGCATGTAGCCCGACATGAGAATGAGATGGAAAACAAAGAGGAGATGGAACAAGAAGAAGAGGTGACAGACCGCCAGCTCACAGGCAGTGCAGGCTACTCCAAACCTGAGATAGTGACTCACTGCCAGAGAAGGTAGACAGCCCCCTCCCTCACAGGCTGGGGTTTTACAGACAGGAGTGGGTGGGCTGCAAGGCAGGGGTCTCGCAGGCTCAGCGGCTGTGGCAGGGTTATACTGTTTGTGAGCAAGAACACCGGGAAGGGTTAAGTCAGACAAGGAGCCTTCGAGAAAGGGCACAGGGGATTGGGATGTGTTCTCAGCTCCAACACACTGGCAAGGGAGGAACATAGATCTAAGGCGTTCGTCCTGGCTCCAGCACCCACCAAGAACCACATGCCGGCTATGGAGGGAGACAAACCCTCTCAACCTCGAAAAGAGAACACTCACCAAGTAAGTTTCTGGACCGTGAAGAAATTAAACTAGCAAACCTGGAGATAGATTCACAAGTCTCCAACGGAAAAGACAGAACAAAACTGGGGGAAAAAATCACATCCATGGGACAATAAAATCCCAACAGGCTGTGTCATAGGAGATCAGAAACAAAGAAAAAATGCAACGTTTAAAGAAATAATTGCCGAAAAACTCCTGAATTTTGGCAAAATACATGAAGAAATTCACAAATCGCAGCGAACCCCAAAGAGTGTAAATTTTAAAAAAAGCCTTATGTAGGCACATCATGAACAAGCTTGAGAACGCTGAAGAGAGTAAATCTCAAAGCAGCCAGGATGGCCCGGGGAGGCAGGGACGGACAAGTCCAAAAGCAGAGAGGGCCGAGATGTCATTTTTAAAGTGACACAAGAAGAGCTGTCGCCCACGAAGCATATACCTGGGGATAAGACCGTCGGGTGTGAAGGCAGAATGGGACCCTCTGAGAAAGTTAGTCACCACAACCTCCACAAACCAAGTGTCACTCGGTTCTCCAGGTGAGCGGGAAACGACATTACCAGAAAACATGCACTCAGGGGAAAGAAGGAAACGCTGCAACAACGGGGCAGTACCGGGCGGAGCAGAAATGCCGAGGAATTCAGCTGTCTGGGTCGCTAACTCTGTATATTCACCCTGTGTTACTGGGTCGGGCACTCTGTGTGTTACTGGGTCTCCCCCTCTGTGTGTGCACTGTGTTACTGAGTCTCTCTCTGTGTGTGCATCTGTGTTACTGGGTCTCTCCTCTGTGTGTGCATCTGTGTTACTGGGTCTCTCTCTGTGTGTACACTCTGTGTTACTGGGTCTCTCTCTGTGTGTGCATCTGTGTTACTGGGTCTCTCACTCTGTGTGTGCATCTGTGTTACTGGGTCGAGCACTCTGTGTGTGCACTGTGTTACTGGGTCTCTCTCTGCGTGTGCATCTGTGTTACTGGGTCTCCCCATCTGTGTGTGCACGCTGTGTTACTGGGTCTCTCTCTGTGTGTGCACTCTGTGTTTCTGGGTCTCTCCTCTGCATGTGCATCTGTGTTACTGGGTCTCTCCTCTGCATGTGCATCTGTGTTACTGGGTCGGGCACTCTGTGTGTTACTGGGTCTCCCCCTCTGTGTGTGCACTGTGTTACTGAGTCTCTCTCTGTGTGGGCATCTGTGTTACTGGGTCTCTCCTCTGTGTGTGCATCTGTGTTACTGGGTCTCTCTCTGCGTGTGCATCTGTGTTACTGGGTCTCCCCATCTGTGTGTGCACGCTGTGTTACTGGGTCTCTCTCTGTGTGTACACTCTGTGTTTCTGGGTCTCTCCTCTGCATGTGCATCTGTGTTACTGGGTCTCTCCTCTGCATGTGCATCTGTGTTACTGGGTCTCTCCTCTGCGTGTGCATCTGTGTTACTGGGTCTCTCCTCTGTGTGTGCACTCTGTGTTACTGGGTCTCCCCATCTGTGTGTGCATCTGTGTTACTGGGTCTCTCCTCTGCATGTGCATCTGTGTTACTGGGTCTCTCCTCTGTGTGTACATCTGTGTTACTGGGTCTCTCTCTGTGTGTACACTCTGTGTTACTGGGTCTCTCTCTGTGTGTGCATCTGTGTTACTGGGTCTCTCACTCTGTGTGTGCATCTGTGTTACTGGGTCTCCCCATCTGTGTGTGCACTGTGTTACTGGGTCTCTCTCTGCGTGTGCATCTGTGTTACTGGATCTCCCCATCTGTGTGTGCACGCTGTGTTACTGGGTCTCTCTCTGTGTGTGCATCTGTGTTACTGGGTCTCTCCTCTGTGTGTGCATCTGTGTTACTGGGTCTCTCTCTGTGTGTACACTCTGTGTTACTGGGTCTCTCTCCGTGTGTGCATCTGTGTTACTGGGTCTCTCACTCTGTGTGTGCATCTGTGTTACTGGGTCGAGCACTCTGTGTGTGCACTGTGTTACTGGGTCTCTCTCTGCGTGTGCATCTGTGTTACTGGGTCTCCCCATCTGTGTGTGCACGCTGTGTTACTGGGTCTCTCTCTGTGTGTGCACTCTGTGTTTCTGGGTCTCTCCTCTGCATGTGCATCTGTGTTACTGGGTCTCTCCTCTGCATGTGCATCTGTGTTACTGGGTCGGGCACTCTGTGTGTTACTGGGTCTCCCCCTCTGTGTGTGCACTGTGTTACTGAGTCTCTCTCTGTGTGTGCATCTGTGTTACTGGGTCTCTCCTCTGTGTGTGCATCTGTGTTACTGGGTCTCTCTCTGTGTGTACACTCTGTGTTACTGGGTCTCTCTCTGCGTGTGCATCTGTGTTACTGGGTCTCCCCATCTGTGTGTGCACGCTGTGTTACTGGGTCTCTCTCTGTGTGTGCACTCTGTGTTACTGGGTCTCCCCATCTGTGTGTGCATCTGTGTTACTGGGTCTCTCCTCTGCATGTGCATCTGTGTTACTGGGTCTCTCCTCTGTGTGTGCATCTGTGTTACTGGGTCTCTCACTCTGTGTGTGCACTCTGTGTTACTGGGTCTCCCCATCTGTGTGTGCACGCTGTGTTACTGGGTCTCTCTCTGTGTGTGCACTCTGTGTTTCTGGGTCTCTCCTCTGCATGTGCATCTGTGTTACTGGGTCTCTCCTCTGCGTGTGCATCTGTGTTACTGGGTCTCTCCTCTGCGTGTGCATCTGTGTTACTGGGTCTCTCCTCTGCATGTGCATCTGTGTTACTGGGTCTCTCCTCTGCGTGTGCATCTGTGTTACTGGGTCTCTCCTCTGTGTGTGCTCTGTGTTACTGGGTCTCCCCATCTGTGTGTGCATCTGTGTTACTGGGTCTCTCCTCTGCGTGTGCATCTGTGTTACTGGGTCTCTCCTCTGTGTGTGCACTCTGTGTTACTGGGTCTCCCCATCTGTGTGTGCATCTGTGTTACTGGGTCTCCCCATCTGCGTGTGCATCTGTGTTACTGGGTCTCTCCTCTGTGTGTGCACTCTGTGTTTCTGGGTCTCCCCATCTGTGTGTGCACGCTGTGTTACTGGGTCTCTCCTCTGCGTGTGCATCTGTGTTACTGGGTCTCTCCTCTGTGTGTGCATCTGTGTTACTGGGTCTCTCCTCTGTGTGTGCATCTGTGTTTCTGGGTCTCTCCTCTGTGTGTGCATCTGTGTTACTGGGTCTCCCCCTCTGTGTGTGCACTGTGTTACTGGGTTTCTCTCTGTGTGTGCACTCTGTGTTACTGGGTCTCCCCATCTGTGTGTGCACGCTGTGTTACTGGGTCTCTCTCTGTGTGTGCACTCTGTGTTTCTGGGTCTGTCCTCTGTGTGTGCATCTGTGTTTCTGGGTCTCTCCTCTGTGTGTGCATCTGTGTTACTGGGTCTCCCCATCTGTGTGTGCATCTGTGTTACTGGGTCGAGCACTCTGTGTGTGCACTCTGTGTTACTGGGTCTCACTCTGTGTGTGCATCTGTGTTACTGGGTCTCTCCTCTGCATGTGCATCTGTGTTACTGGGTCTCTCACTCTGCGTGTGCACTCTGTGTTACTGGGTCTCACTCTGTGTGTGCATCTGTGTTACTGGGTCTGTCCTCTGTGTGTGCATCTGTGTTACTGGGTCTCTCCTCTGCGTGTGCATCTGTGTTACTGGGTCTCTCACTCTGCGTGTGCACTCTGTGTTTCTGGGTCTCTCCTCTGTGTGTGCATCTGTGTTACTGGGTCTCCCCCTCTGTGTGTGCACTGTGTTACTGGGTCTCTCTCTGTGTGTGCACTCTGTGTTACTGGGTCTCCCCATCTGTGTGTGCACGCTGTGTTACTGGGTCTCTCTCTGTGTGTGCACTCTGTGTTTCTGGGTCTGTCCTCTGTGTGTGCATCTGTGTTACTGGGTCTCTCCTCTGTGTGTGCATCTGTGTTACTGGGTCTCCCCATCTGTGTGTGCATCTGTGTTACTGGGTTGAGCACTCTGTGTGTGCACTCTGTGTTACTGGGTCTCACTCTGTGTGTGCATCTGTGTTACTGGGTCTCTCCTCTGTGTGTGCATCTGTGTTACTGGGTCTCTCCTCTGCGTGTGCATCTGTGTTACTGGGTCTCTCCTCCGCGTGTGCACTCTGTGTTACTGGGTCTCACTCTGTGTGTGCATCTGTGTTTCTGGGTCTGTCCTCTGTGTGTGCATCTGTGTTTCTGGGTCTGTCCTCTGCGTGTTCACTCTGTGTACTGGGGCTGGCTGCTTTGTCTTCTTCTGGAGGAATGCTCTGGCTGTTGCATATGCCATTCTGTGCACACCGTGTACTTTAACTGTATTTCTCTGTGTGGTTTCTTCAGGAGCTGCTGTGAGGATTACAGGACGCCTTCTTGCCTTTCAGTCTACTGGGAAGCACTCCTTCCTTTCTCACTGGAACACAGATTCCCAAAGCACCACAGCCCCTTCGGTAAAGACTCCCTGCTTATGCTGTGGCTGCCAGCATGCGCTGGTAACGCACACGGTGCTGGAACTTCTGTCTAATCATCACATATGTACGAGGCATGATAGATATAAGATATAGATACCTACAACAGACATCACAGATCTAGTTATCATAGATACACTATTTAAAAATCCAACTATGCACTCCCTACAATAAACCCACTCTAAATATAGTGATACAGCTAAGTTTAAAGTAAAAAAATAGAAAATGGCATACCAAGCAAACACTAAGATATATAAACAAGAAACAAAGAAATAAAGTGAAAGACCCAAATCCAAGCTTATTAAGAATCACATTAAATGTAAATGGCCTAAATAATCTAATTTATAGGTGTTGTCAGGATGAATTATAAATTATTTTTAAAATCTATAAATATACCTACAATAAATCCACATTCAATATAGAGAGCAGCTTTCTTTTTAAAGATTTTATTTATTTATTTATTTATTTGAGAGGTAGAGTTACTGAGAGGGAGAGACAGAGAGAGAGAGAGAGGTCTTCCATCCTCTGGTTCATTCCCAAAATGGCTGCAACGGCTGTTAACTGGGCCAATCCGAAGCCAAGAGTTTCTTCTGGATCTCCCACATGGGTGCAGGGGCCCTAGGACTTGGGCCATCTTCCACTGCTTTTCCAGGCCATAGCAGAGAGCTGAATCAGAGGTGGAGCAGCCGGGACTAGAACCTGCGCCCATATGAGATGCCAGTGCCGCAGGTGGAGGATTAACCTACTGTGCCACAGTGCCAGCCCTGAGATAAGTTTTAAATAAAAGAATAGAAGCATAGTAGGCAAAGCCTATGTCTGAGACACGATATCCCATATGGATACTGGTCCAAATCCTGGCTGCTCCATTTCCCATCCAGCCCCCTGCTGATGGCATGGGAAAGCTGCAGGAGGTGGCCCAACTGCTCAGGCCCCTGCTGTCCACATACGTGACCTGGATGAAGCTCCTGGCTTTGCCCTGGCTCAGCCCTGGCCATTGCAACCATCTGAGTGACCCAGAAGGCGGAAGATATCTCTTTCTCTCTTTCTCTCTCTCCACCTCTCACTGTAACTCTGACTTTCAAATAAATAAATAAATCTTTAAAAGAAAAACAAGCTGTAAAACAGGTCCCCTAAAGACAGACCTGAGTGTAGACGCAGAACCAGCCAGGGTATGCATGGGCTGACACCAGAATCAGGGAGCACTGACTCTGGAGTCCTTGTCCACCGAGTGGGAGGGAATGCCTGCTTGTCCTTGCCCATGGCAGGCGGGAACCACCTCCTGACCTGCACGCATCCACAGTATGTACATAACTGGACATGACAGGGAGCGTATTCATCGTTTCGCGGGACACGAGCCAACACGTAAGGGGTGGGGTGACCCAAACTCATCAAGTTGCTACGCTCCCTTCCATCCAGCAGCATACGAACTGCCTGACGAGTGACAACAGTCTCGGACGGGATGGGAGCTCAAACACGACCCCAGCCCCTGAGCTCAGGAAGTGGGTCTCAGGGCTGCCACTCTTGGCGTCTCCCTGGGGGTCTCCTCAACAGCCTCGTGTGACCACTGACTCCCGCTGTGGTTAGGGGGCTGAGGGCCACTGTGGGTAACAGAGCCCCACCAGGATGGAACTGGCCAAGGGCTAGTCTCTGCAACCTGCAGAAGGAAGTGGCTGAGCCCCTTACTCCATTTGCCCCCAGACTCTCCTCCTGGGGATTCCGAGATGGAGAGAGCTGCTGGAGGCATCGGAGTTATGAAGCCTCCAGTCACAGTGGGAGTGGGCAGGTCACTGACATGGGAGGGAGAGCAGGGCACGGGCACACCCTCAGGAGGACCACCTACATTGTGGAGGCACTCACTGTGCCACAGCTGCTTCCCGGCCCACAGATACCTGTGACAGATACGTAGTGTTTCTCAGGGAAAAAAATGTGATCAGATCTTTAAAATATCTCAAAGCATCCTAATTTGGTACTTAAAAGGAATTCCTTTCAGTATTTACTTTCTAAGCATCCCAACCACAGACGGAATATTCTATACCCCAGGCAGGGAAGGCTGGGTGCAGTGTGCGTAACGGATTCCCTGTACAGCTTTTTTTGTAACTTCCTGTGAATCTATAATTATTCCAAAATAAGCTAAAAAAAAGTGACATGGGTTTGAATTGAAACCACAGAATCTAGAAAACACTTCTATTTTCAGTCATCTGAGAACAGGAGGAGAGGAGAGAATTTGTCTCCAGTGCTGCAAAATGATGGCCAGGACTTAGAAGCATGATAGGGTGAGAACATTTTTTTCCCTGTAGAAATGCACTTATGAAAAAAAAATGTTTTAGATTTTATGAAAAAATAGTCTTAGATCCTTAGTACTACAGGAGGGCATCAACAGAGACCCCATTTGCACGCTAACATCGCTGCCGCGGTGCCCACGTGCGGCTCTTCCTATGAGCACACCTGATACTGTCAGGGCGCCACAAGACAGACAGGCAACAGCGACTTATCACACACAAAGGCGGAAGCCCAGGAAGCAAGGACCAGGGGGAAAATGTCATATGGAAGACAAAATGATGTAAATTAGAAAAGTGTCTGACCTTTATTCATGCTTCATACTTATTGAATTATCAAATCATTTAACAACGCGTTTCCCCTACAATCTTCTCCCTCTCAGCACTTGGCACCTCCAGTTGCCCGGACTGCTCGGGACAAAAGCCATGGAGCCACCATGCCTCCTGGGAAACAGCCATTCTCATCCTACATATGGTTCTTTCAAAGCATATCCAGGACTGGACTGGTTACCAGCCCTCCTGCATTCCTCCCCCAACCCCAGGACTGTCATGTCAACCACAAGATGCCACCCTCCACCCCAGGACTGTCATGCAACCATGAGATGCCACCCCCCACCCCAGGACTGTCATGTCAACTACAAGATGCCACCCCCCACCCCAGGACTGTCATGCAACCATGAGATGCCACCCCCCACCCCAGGACTGTCGTGGCAACCATGAGATGCCACACCCCACCCCAGGACTGTCGTGGCAACCACAAGATGCCACCCCCCACCCCAGGACCGTCATGCAACCATGAGATGCCACCCCCCACCCCAGGACTGTTGTGGCAACCATGAGATGCCACCCCCCACCCCAGGACTGTCGTGGCAACCACAAGATGCCACCCCCCACCCCAGGACTGTCATGCAACCATGAGATGCTACCCTGCAGCCTTGTTCCTATAGTAGATTCTCCCCACAGCAGCTCTGCTTTACTTTGTAAGACTTGTCACCTGGTATGTTTAAGTCTGTTGTCTCTAAGAGGGTACCTGAGTAGATTTATGGAACACAGAATTAAAATGTAAGTTCATCTTGGTCCAAAAACTTTTACATTCCATGCACAGTTTTTTTTTCACAATACATATTTACATAAAATTTTGAAGACCTCTCATATACTGGATTTCACATTTGTTTTGCACCAAAATATACTTATCATTCAATTCTGTTTTCTAAGGATATTTTCAAGTGTGCTCACGCTCTGTGGAGAGCACAGCCCCGGGGGTACTTATGCCCACTGCCTGGCTCTTCCACGGAAATGCAAGCCGTCCGAGAGCATGAACTCAGCCTTACTTCCTGCTGTGTGTTCAGCACCTAGGACAGCGCCTGGCGTCACACAGGCTGCAAAGGAGCTGCTGCCCCAGGAAGGAAGGGGAGAGGGAAGTGGATACACTCTGGCGTGGCTGCATGGAAACAGGCACATTCATGCACGCTGAATTGTGCATGAAACTGGACATTTTTGAAAGGCAATCACAACACACACAGATCCAGAAATCATCTGTAACTTTTCTAAGAATTATTTATACTACAAATAATGAATATTTAATTTTTAACAGTGATAACTAGATTTATGTAATACTTTAGAGTTTACACTTTTAGATTTTTATATTACAATCTCACACTATGGATAAAACATAAATGAAAGATGGATGAAAAATTTCAGTACAAAATTATAAACATAGCAGAAAATCAAGGGTAACATTTATGAAACTTTGAGGAGGGAAAGTTTTTCAAAACAATATATGAAACCAAGAAGCTGCTAAGAACAAAATGAAAATTTTACCACCTAAAAATGAAAAATATAGTAAAATGGCACCAAAATAATTTGTGTTAAACTGCAAATGTAAATTGTTTTTAAAATACAAATGACAAACTAGAATAAGTTTAGAACACACAACATACAAAAGTTCCTGAACATCAATAAAACTTTCATAAAAATTTTAAATAGGCTACAATTATGTATATGAAAGAACACACAAAAGAAATGTGAATGTTAAATAAACATAAAAAGATGGTTCACCTTACTCAAAATGCAAGAAATTAAATCACAAAGAACGGTGAGGTATTATTTCACATCCATCAAACTGCAAACAGTAAAGAGTAACAAAGATGTGGAAAGAGAAATATCCTCACGGGCTCAGGACTGTCAATTGTGCAGGGCATTCCATAGGATATATTAAAACCACAAATTCTGGGCATGTGTTATGAAATGACTACATGTGCACGAAGATTTATGTTCAAGAACGCCTGATGGATGGATGGATAAAGAAAATGCGGTAAAGGGCAGGAGTCTCCTGCAGGAATTATGATGCCCGTTGGCATACCCACATCCCACGTGCCTGCGTTCCAGTCTCGGCTCTGCTCCTGACTCCTGCTTCTTGCCAAGGCGTACCCGGGAGGTAGCAGGTGATGGCCCAGGTGGTCAAGTCTCTGCCACTCTCATCTGGGGGACTGGGTTTGAGTTCCTGGCCCCAGGCATTTGGGGAATGAACAAGACACTAGGATCTCTGTCTACTGGTCTCTCCAAATAAGTAAACATACACAAAGATAGCCAAGAGAGCGTCATTTGTTTAAATATGGTTCAGTACAGAATGGAATATGGCTCAGCTGTAACAAGGGGAATGCGATCCTGTCACATGCAGCAACATGGATGGGCGTGGAGGACGTGCTATTAAGTGAGCAAGTTGGCCATGAAAAGACAAACACCACATGTTCTCACTCAGATGTGGCGCCTCAAAGAGTGGGTTTCACAGAAGTGCAGAGCAGAATCTTGGTTCCCAGGGGCTGGGTAGGGTGGGAGGGAGGAAGGGTCAGGGAGAGATGGGTTAGCAGGCACAGGGTGCAGCTGGGAGAGAGGATTAACTCCTAATGCTCTACACAGCACAACAGGGTAACTACGCGTGATGGCAATCATTGATTTCTTTTTTTTAAAGATGTATTTTATTTCTTTGAAAGACAGAGTCACAGAGAGAGGTAGAGCCAGAAAGAGAGAGTTCCTCCATCCACTGGTTCACTCCCCTAATGACAGCAACGGCCAGAGCTGAGCTGATCCAGAGCTTCCTCTGGGTCTCCCATGTGGGTGCAGGGGCCCAAGGACTTGTTTTACCATCTTCCACTGCTTTCCCAGGCCACAGCAGAGAGCTGGATCGGAAGTGGAGCAGCCGGGACTAGAACTGGTGCCCATATGGAATGCCAGCATTGCAGGCTGGGGCTTTAACTCGCTGCACCACAGCGCTTCCCCTACGACCACCAATTTCAAAAGAGCAGTAGAGAGATTCTGAATATCCCCAGGACTGAGCACTGCTGAGTGTCCAGGCTGAAGGATGTGCCCGTCACCCTCACCTGCTCAGGACTCATGGTACACAGGCTCTGAAACACAAACCTGTACCCCATCACCAGGTGCAATCAACGTGTGTCAATTAAAACGTTTTTAAAGAATGTTCGATGATAAACTCTTTGAAATAGCAAGAACAAAAACGACTCAAATCGCTAACAGAAGTCACTAAAGCATCCAGGTGTGCCCATCTGATGGAAGAGCCCGCGGTTTGTAAACCAACAGGAAGACCAACAACGGACCAGAGGAAAAGGTGAACAACGTGGAGTATAGATGTTATTAATTTTCAAAAGACTAAGATTTCACTGTTAAAATGATAGCAACAAAGCAATGGGTACATACTTCGATGGATAAGTAATTTGGGGAAATTTGCATCGAGCGGTTATAATGGGCGTCTTTGCGAGAAAACACTGTGTCGCATGCTCATTTTCTACTTTCCTCATGTCATGAGGCACAGATTCTGTGCAACAAGTTCTACCGGCTTCAGTGTTCGGCAGAAAAAAAGCGAGGGAGGAAACATCTTGTGTTACGCAACACCCCTCCCCCGCCTTTTCAACACAGAGCAAGCAGGGCTCAGAGCATCAAAGACGCTGTCCAAGGTAGGAACCAGACAGCCAATCCCCTAACTCCAAATCTTTTCTTCCCTGCATAAAATCAAGATGCACTATCAGTCAGCCACTCGCTGAGTCCCTTCCGTGTGCCAGGAATGCGGGACTTTCTGAACAAGTGGAAAGAAAGAAAAGATTGTGGCCTGCACCACAATGACCAGGCCTGGAGACAAGAAGGCAGGCCAGTACCAACCTCCCACCCCAGGCTGCACGCCCGCCCTGGGCGAGGCTACACTGTTGCATGTCACCCACAGTGTCCTACTCCAATCCTAGCAGCAATCCTACAAGCAGCCCATTTGATAAAGACTCCGTGCCTCACCCAGCATGACACCAGTCAGTCTGCCTCTAAACCCCGTTCTCCACTCCATGACTTGGCAGGCTGGCCCACAAAGCCCCACTGAGGCCACACCCACCAAGGCACAGCCTCAGGCAGCCACACAGAATCACAGCTCAGCTACTTCTCCTCCCTGTACCTTGGTTCTTTGGCTACAAGATCCCATAACATGTGGTGCAGCCACACTGCCCAGCCCGAGGCCCTGACCAGGATGGCCCCCACGTAAATCTGCAATGAGCCTGGGAGGAAGTGACTGTGGTTGTGTCACTTTCCAGAGGGGCCCCTGGCAGCAGAAAGGTGCCGATGCCCAGAAGGTGCTCACAAGGCGGTGAGGAGCCAGCACTTGGTGGGCACTCAAGGACAACTCCACAGACACACACGCAGAGGGCCGCCTGGGGAGCACGAAGTAATGAGAGGTGCTAGCATCTTGCTCGATGTGACCCTAAGATGAACTGGCAGTCAATTCTTTTGTGAAAATACGAGGTTGTTCTCGGGTGCCTGCCGTACAGTTAAGGGTCAGGTAGGGTAAGCAGGGGACGTGAGCTCCACGCTGGTCAGCCACCTCTCCTCCAGGTACCCCCAGGAAACTGCATGCCTCGCAGACAAGGGGTAGCCTCATCCTTCTCCCTTTAACTACACAGAGGCCTCTTGCTGCACCTCCCACGTCATCAGTGCAAGCTCAGTTGCTCTTTATTTAAAGCTCCTGCCACGCAACACTGTTCCCTGCCTGATTGTAATATTATGTGACAATTCAACAGAGTATTAACTGCCACGTTTACACCAGGCACCAGGCGAGGTGCTGCCAAAACAAGTGAGTCACGCCTGCCTTCAGAGAGCCAGCAGGGAGGCGGGACACCCCGAGGAGGTTGCTGGGGATGCCCTGACAGGACAGACTCCTCCCTCCATCCCCAGAACTCAGCACACCTGTGCACACACTGGAGCCAAGTGACTGCCACCAATTCTCAAAGATCCACCATGGGCCAGGTAGTGTGTGAGACTCTACATAGTTTTGGTTTTTTTATTTAAAAGATTTATTTGTTTGAAAGGCAGGGAGGGGCAGAGAGAGAGAGAGAGAGAGAAAGAGGTCTTCCATCTGCTGGTTAACTCCGCAAATGGCAACAACAGCTGGAGCTGGGCTAATCCAAAGCCAAGAGCCTGGATCTTCTTCCAGGTCTCCCATGTGGGTACAGGGGCCCAAGGACTTGGGTCATCTACTGCTTTCCCAGGCCACAGCAGGGAGCTGGATCAGAAGTGGAGCAGCCAGG